TTAGTTGGAGTTGGTTGGGCCGGGTTGGGTTGGCTTGGGTTGGATTGAGTTGGGTTGAGTTGAGTTGGGTTGAGTTGAGTTGGGTTGGGTTGACCCAAGTTGGGTTGGGTTGACTCATGTTGGTGGGGTTGGGTTGATCCAAGTTGGATTGGGTTGACCAAGGTTGGGTTGGGTTGGGTTGGGTTGGGTTGGATTGAGTTGGGTTGGGTTGGGTTGGGTTGACTCATGTTGGTGGGGTTGGGTTGAGTTGGGTTGGGTTGGGTTGACCCAGGTTGGGTTGGTCTGACTCATGTTGGTGGAGTTGGGTTGATCCAAGTTGGATTAGGTTGACCCAGGTTGGGTTGGCTTGGGTTGGATTGAGTTGGGTTGAGTTGAGTTGGGTTGGGTTGACCCAAGTTGGGTTGGGTTGACTCATGTTGGTGGGGTTGGGTTGATCCAAGTTGGATTGGGTTGACCCAGGTTGGGTTGGGTTGGGTTGGGTTGAGTCGACCCAGGCTGGGTTGGATTGACTCATGTTCATTGGCTTGACCCAGGTTGAGTTGGGTTGACCAGGGTTGGCTTGCCTAAGGTTGGGTTGACCCATGTTGGGTTGGGTTGACCCAGGTTGGGTTGGTTTGAGTTGCCTTTGGACGTTCCACGCCCCACCATTCTCCTGTCCCTCATGGAGCCTCTCCCAGAGGTGGGACCTCACCTGGAAGAAGGTCATGGTGGAGCCGGCGTGGATGGTGCCGTACTCGATGTTGGTCTGATCGGCCAAGTCATCGGCCGACTCGATGGGCACCTCCATGCGCTGCACCGTGAGGAAGGCCGCCAGGTTGGCCGTGTAGGACGAGATGATGATGAGGGTGAAGGCCCACCTGGAGGAATGGGTCAGAGGTCGGGGGGGGAGGGTTCTCCGAGGCCGGACACCCCCCGTGGCCACCCTGAGGGACCTCCCCTGGGTCTCACCAGACCCCGCTGACGCAGCGGGTGGAGAGGGCGCGGGGCATGATCTCGGAGCCCTGTTGCATGAAGCCCCCCACGGGGAACCAGAGGCTGTTGCCCAACGTGTACTGGTTCTCCAGGAGGTTGTGTCTCTCCCGCAGGCAGGGGTGGGGGTTGTACCACTCGTAGGGGCTCAGCCTGGGGGGGAAAGGGGGGGGACACGTCATCAGGGACAACTGCCCCCCCCTTCCCTGCCCCAGAGACCCCATGGGGTGGGACAAGACCTCCCTGCCCCCCCCCGAAGCCACCACTGATATTTCAGGGGGGTTCCTGGAGCTCCTTGTACCCCCGAAACCCATCAGTGATGCCCCGGGACCTTCCTGAACCCCCCCAAAACCCATCAGTGACCCCACAAGGAGCTCCAGGACCTCCCTGTACCCCCAAAACCCATCGCTGACCCCCTCAGAACCTCCCTGCTCCCTCAAACCCCGTTACTGACCCCCCCCCAGGACCTCCTTGAACCTCCAAAACCCATCAGAGATCCCACCAGGAGCTCCAGAACTTCCCTCCAAACCCCTCAGAGACCCCACCAGGACCTCCAGAACCTCCCTCCACCCCACAAACCCCTCAGTGATCCCACCAGGAGCTCCAGAAC